GGAATGCTGAGGGTCAGAGGCAATCTAAACCTATGTCTACACTGCGATAAAAAACTTGGGGCAGCGAGTCTCAGGCTCCAGCCCAAGCCCAAATGTCCACACTGCTATTTTACAGCCTCGCAGCCCAAGACGAGTGAGGCGGGCCAGCTGCGGCTGTGCCGCGGGTCTTTTATCGCAGTGCAGATAGACCCAAAGTGACAGTGGCTCAGAACATCACGCAACAGCTGGGTCAGAGGAGAGAGAAAGTGACAAGAATAACAAAGCCGCAGATCCCCCACTTTGACTGTATGGCCATCGCATGTAAGGCTGGGTCAATGGAAAACACACCGTCTTGCAGAAAAGTAGGTAGCTACAAGTGGCATTAGCCTCTCTTAAGGGGGATGGGGAAGAGCTCCAGTTAAAATGAGAGCAGATGGAGTGCCGTGCGAACAGGACAGTTAATACCTGGGGAAGGTAACCAGAGTGTCTGAAGAAGAGCTCTGGGAAGCTGGAAAGTTTGTCCTTTCCGCTAGCTGAAGTTGGTCCAATGGTTTTCCAACGTTTTAGGCTGCGTACCCCTTTCCAAATAACGTAATCTACCCCATGCCCCCATCTGAGATAGGGTCAGAATATACCAATGAAAACAGGGAAAAAGATGGTCTGTACGGGGTAACACGATGTGTTGTCTGCTGGGACAGGATTATTCTCGTATGCCCCTAGCGTACAGGTACCCCAGTTTGATATAGCCTCACCCACCTCGTCCCTCTCATATCCTGGGCCCAACGTGCTACAACAATAGTGCGGACGATTATTGTCTGGCTTCAGAACTGTACAAGGAAAAATATGGTGCAGGCAGGCAGAGAGCCCACTGCTCGGATTATAATCCAGTTCCTCTTCCTCCTCATTTTCTTTCCAACTAATTGTTTGGGTTCTTCCTAATATTTGTGAATGCAGCGCTGGGGGGGTATCCCTGCTTCTCTCTCTCGCCAACAGAGGCTGGTAAAAGAGAGGTTTGTGCCCCACTTTAGCTCCCTGGCAGCTCCCCTGACTAACCAACCCTTCCTGGGGTTCACCGACGCCTCAGACCCCGGCCTGGGTGTGGTGCTGATGCAAACTGATACTCAAGGGGGAGAGACACCCCCTTGTGTACTTGCCCACCTGGCCTCTGTGATATTTTAAGTCCCAAAAGGCTGGGCCTGTCTGTGCGAACGGCGGCCAGGGGGCGCTAAAGAGAAGCAAAAGGAGAAGGAAACTAAAAAAAAAAATCCCCCCCCCCTCCCCTTCTCCAGCAGTTTGACATCAGAGCGCGTTTTATTTCCCCACTAGCCGCTGGTCTCCTCCCCCCGCCCCACTCCATTTCATCCCGCCCCAGCGTCAGTTTCAGGCATGTGCATTGCCCGTCCCAGGGAGACGCGGGGTTTTGGAGAACCGGCTCCTTCCACATTGACAAAAAGCCCCCCCAGCACCCCTCCCTCTCCCCTCCCCGCCTCCTCCCCCCTTGCAAGCCACCCCGACCCGCCCCCCGGCTGGTTTGCAAAGCTGCGCGCCCCGGGCAGGTGGCTGGGTGGGTGTCCGGGAGCCAGGCAGTGGAGACACGCCGGCGGGAGCGAGCCGAGATGTCTAGGAAGCGCTCGGCCGGCGGGGCGGTGCAGCGGGGGGCGGTGAGCCGCGGGCAGCCCCGGGCCGGTTCGGAATGAAGGGTGGCTGGAGCCGAGCCCCGCCGAGATGTCGGTGCCTTTACTCAAGATTGGAGTCGTCCTGAGCACCATGGCCATGATCACCAACTGGATGTCGCAGACGCTGCCGTCCCTGGTGGGGCTGAACACCACCAAGTTAACCGCAGCCTCGGGGGGCACCTTGGACAGGAGCACGGGGGTAAGTGTCGGGGGGCTGGTGTGCTGGGCACGTCTGTGCACTTTGTGTGTGTGTCGGAGGGGCTGGTGTGCAGAGAATGTGCTCTTTGTGTGTGTGTGTGCCGGGGGCTGGTGTGCAGGGCACGTCTGTGCACTTTGTGTGTGTGTCGGAGGGGCTGGTGTGCAGAGAATGTGCTCTTTGTGTGTGTGTGTGTGTGTGTGCCGGGGGCTGGTGTGCAGGGCACGTCTGTGCACTTCGTGTGTGTGTCAGGGGGCTGGTGTACAAGGCATGTCTGTGCACTTTGTGTGTGTGTGCCGGGGGCTGGTGTGCAGGGCACGTCTGTGCACTTTGTGTGTGTGTTGGGGGCTGGTGTGCCAGGCACATCTGTGCACTTCATGTGTGTGTCGGGGGGGCTGGTGTGTTCCCCGGTGGGGCTGAACACCGCCAAGTTAACCGCAGCCTCAGGGGGCACCTTGGACAGGAGCACGGGGGTAAGTGTCGGGGGGCTGGTGTGCTGGGCACGTCTATGCACTTTGTGTGTGTGTCGGAGGGGCGGGTGTGCAGGGCACATCTATGAACCTTGTGTGTGTGTCAGGGTGGGGGGTGAGGCCTGGAAGCACAGATCCTTAATTTGCAGGAGGGGCGCAAAGTTTGCTCTGGATCGGGGCTAGATGCTGCTGGCCCTGGTCTCCTGTGCCAAGCGCGTGTTCTGTTAGCCGAGGTGAGGGTAGCGCGGCTGAGCACTGTCATGGTTGGTTTGGCTGGCTTGGCTTTGTTTTGTAAAGTCGAAAGGTCTGGCCTGATCGTCCGAGTCCAGGGAAGCGAAGTGGGTGGCAGAGGCCAGTCATTGGGGTGGGGAGGGAAGGGAATAGTTCCGCTCCCAGCCTTTGGTTGGCTGTGTCCTGCACCTGTGCCGGGAAACTGACTGGGAGAGGGTGCGTGTGTGTGTTTAAATGCTGTCCTTAGAGGTTTCCCAAGGGCAGCTCTCTCATCTTGTAGAGCCTCGGGAATGGGCTGGGTGGAAAATCCCAGGGGTTTCTTTTTAGGGGGGCGGTGGCTGTGTGTTGGGGGGCGGTGGGGACGAGATGAAGATGTTTTGCAGTTGTGCTGGCAGAGGATTTGGTCTTAGAAAATCTAATTGTGCCATAGTGACTTGTCCCCTTCCCTTCCCCCACCCCCTCCTCCTCTCTCTCTTTCATGTGACTGGGTGTTTCTGGGTTAATCCAGGAATCTTTTGGTTTCTCATTAAATAGGTTGTCAAGATGGAGCTATTGGGAATTGAGCTACAGCCTTCATTTGCATAGCAGTGGGGCGAGATTGCCATAGTTAGAAGAAGGGCATGGTAAAGGCACATTCCCAGCATGACGGATTGCTTGGGAGGAAAGGCACAGAGCTTGTGCGTCCTGCCACTCCTCTCCTTGCAAAGCTGCCTTTGTGTGTTGGCAGCGCAGCTAAGGTGCCCCTCTTAGACCGCTGTCCTGTTACATAACAACCTGTTAGCTAGGCATCTGGAGAGCGTCCTGCGAGTGGAAAGTGGGTGTCTTGGGGAGGGGTTGGGAGTGGGGCTGGCTTCCCCTTTGCATTTCCCTGACTGAAAAAAATTCAAAAGTTCCTGTGTCATGACATTTCGCCATTTCCATATAGCTTGCTGTCAGGTGTAAGACCCACAAGAACGGATGCACTCAGATGCCTGGAATCAATAGTCATTATCGGGATGGAAAATGCATCAGGGAAGTTGCAAGTGCATTTTAGTCATGCCTTATGGTGCCCCTTGTCTTTTCTGAAAGGATACTATAAACTGGATTCTTATCTATTGGAAATGGCTGAGTATAACAATCCTTCTTTCTTCCCTTAGCAGGAAAGAATTGACACCTCTCACCTCCAGGCTGTATGCTTCTGTCTTTAAAAAATTAGCATTTTGCAGCCTCACTGTTTCAAGATGAAGAGTATTTAATATAGTGTCTCTGTTAATTGTGAGTGGATTTGGCAGTTTGTTCCCTGTTACAAGAATGTGATGTGACCCAAAATCATTTTAGCTGGAGTCTGTCTGTCTATCTATCCCCATACACTCCGTTTGTTGGTCAGTCTATCTATCTATCTATCTATCTATCTATCTATCTATCTATCTATCTATCTATCTATCTATGTGGCTGTTTGCAAGGTTATTTATTGCATATTTAAGCACTAAACCAGCATCTTTCCTTCTAGCTGGTGAAATACTGGTCTCTTCAAAATGATCAGAGATGGTGATTAAATAATGTATTTTGCAAAATGTTGTGTGATTAAAGGGAAATGAAGGTCAGAGATTCTGCAGGAGCTGGGGAATGTGTTTAGCTTCATTGCTGGGCTCCCTTTCCACATATGCATTATGGAAGCCCAGATCATAGTGCTGATTACATCTTCAAGGTTGTATTCCTCATTAGCTGGCGTGCTGTCTCACGGCTATTCTGGGCGCTCTCTCCTCCTTGGGTTAACAGAGCAGTTTAAGAAATATTGCAGTGCTCCTGAAAATCTCCTGGGACACTTTGAATAGCAGAGGGGGGAAAACCAGTAAAAATGCTGGTTGCCTTTTCCTCATAAGAGCTCATTCCTGTTTCAGGACCTTGGAGAGCTCTGTAGATTCCCATTGATTGCTGCTCAGTTCCTGGAGTCAGGAGAACACTGACTAGTACATCAGGATGCACTTCATTCTCTGTGTGTCAAGGAGAAATTGAGTGTGTGTCTTAATAATAGCATGGCATCAAGTTTCACACAGGCTGGGTGTGCATCAGAACTCACTTGAACTAATGATGCCAACCGACCCTACTACCCCTTGATTTTCCATCCCACATATCCCCAATCTTCCCCATTGTGTCCATATTATCTGCTTCAACTCTTGTTCTCCTTTCCATGCCATCAAACTCTTTGTTTACCTGTCCCCAATCCATATTTTTGCATTAAACATGCATCCTATCCTTCCTATTTACTGGGCCCTCGGAGGAACCTTTCCTTTATTTATTCCATGGTTCCATTATGTTTCTGTGGTGTTGCTCTATTGCTGCTTTTAAAAAAAAATGTTTTGGGTTGCACTGAATACTTCCCATACATCCATTTCCCTACACTCTCGCTATCCCTCTAAGTGTCCCCCGTCTTACTTAACCCCACCCCCTTTTCCATGTGTCAATTAGGTGTTGCCGACCAACCCAGAGGAAAGCTGGCAGGTCTACAGTTCTGCCCAAGACAGCGAGGGACGGTGTATATGCACAGTGGTGGCTCCCCAACAGACGATGTGCTCACGTGATGCCAGGACAAAGCAGCTGAGGCAGCTCTTAGAAAAGGTAATGGGATGAACCATCCTGTGGGAAAGGGGGAGGATGGTCTGGTAGTTAAGGCAGGTGGGATTCAAGAGATCTGGCTGCAATTTGTGGTTCTGCTATGGACTCCTTGAGCAATTCCTTCTGTGCCTCATTTCCCCATCTGTAAAATGGGGATGATGATAATACCTGCCTACCTCACAAGGTGTGAGGATCAATTCATTCATGTTTGTAAGGTGCTTTGATGTTATGGCTATGAAGTATAAGTATCTAGATAGAGGGAGGTTTGTGAAAGCCTTTGTGAAATGTAATAAGATCAAAGATACATGATATTGCCCTATGTAATTCAGGAGGGGGAAAAATTCTGCAGTTGACTCTAATCACATTGGTTTTTATTGAATTAACACTTAAATATTTTCAAAGGGTGAGTCTCAAAAAGACAAGAGAGAAGCCCAATTAAAAATGAAGCCCGGGCTCTTTTAGCTGTATTGATATTAAAAAGGTTGGATAAAACAGCATGAGCCATCGACATCAAATAACACGGTCGTGAGGGCTTGTGGTTTTCTTCCTAACATTGACATTCGCATGGTTCGTTTTTAATAGTCTGCTGTCCGGAGAGATCAGAAGACACATCCCTGATATCAGGAAATTCTCTGGATAATGGATCCCATTGAAGAAACACCGTTTCTTGTGAAATAGTGCCATTCTTTTCTAAATCTAAGTAGACTCTTGTATTGGGGCATGTAATTATCCCTCGTGTCTAAATACTGTACTATGCCAGCATCTGAAGTATGTGACACAATAATTTTTATCCTGATACCTGGAGAAAATTGCCGTGTTAGTCACTCAAACCATTCATAAACCTGCACTTAATGTGTTTTACTATGCTCTGAGTACTATAAACTGAGACATGAGGCATTTCTCCTTTGTTTGTAGCATAAGCTTCTGGCTTTCGTTTGCTCACATAATAAAGAGAACATGCCCAACAGAACAAAATCTGAAGTAGGAACAGGGGCAGCACTAGTATCAAAGACCCATTGGCTTTGTATAACTACTCACCTGAATAAGACAAGCAGGTTTTGACCCAAAGTCCTATTCAAATGTAAACAGTGGGTGTGGGGTGAAAGACCTAAAATGTGATCGTTTCCAATGCAGAGGGTGCTGAAATATAAATATTCATTGTTTTTCTTAGACAGCAAGCTGCTCTTGGGATGCCAGGGTATAAAGTAAGGGAAGAATGATGTGCAAAGTCAGATGTTCATGTGTGTGTTAACCTATCTATCTCTACACATACACCATCCCGTAAGAGAACCCAGAAATAAAGGGGGAGTGTTAGCGGTTGCCATAGAATCATAGACTTTAAGGTCAGAAGGGACCATTATGATCGTCTAGTCTGACCTCCTGCACAACGCAGGCCACAGAATCTCATCCACTTCTGTAACAAACCCCTAACCTATGTCTGAGCTATTGAAGTCCTCAAATCATGGTTTAAAGACTTCAAGATGCAGAGAATCCTCCAGCAAGTGACCCGTGCCCCACGCTGCAGAGGAAGGCGAAAAAACCCCAGGGCCTCTGCCAATCTGCCCTGGAGGAAAATTCCTTCCCGACCCCAAATATGGTGATCAGCTAAACCCTGAGCATGTGGGCAAGACTCACCAGCCAGACACCCAGGAAAGAATTCTCTGTAGTAACTCAGATCCCACCTCATCTAACATCCCATCACAGACCATTGGGCATATTTACCTGCTAATAGTCAAAAATCAATTAATTGCCAAAATTAGGCTATCCCATCATACCATCCCCTCCATAAACTTATCAAGCTTAGTCTTGAAGCCAGATATGTCTTTTGCCCCCACTGCTCCCCTTGGGAGGCTGTTCCAGAACTTCACTCCTCTGATGGTTAGAAACCTTTGTCTAATTTCAAGTCTAAACTTCCTGATGGCCTCTGATCTGGATCTCCATTGAAACAAAATCCTTTTAGTAAAATGTAACTGCAGACACTTTTGGAAAACCTCCAAGCTCACAAGAAAGATCTGTTGCTGGCTGCAAGCATTCCTGCCCCTTTCAAGAATCTGACATCTTAACTCCCCTAGTTTTGTGATGAGAACTAGCCTCACATTTTTTTTCACCACAAATAGCAGACGAAACATAACATGTCAAAGATGTAATTGTGTTTGGATTTTCCAAGGAGGAAAGCAACCATAACCTATTATTCACCTTTGGGGATAATAAAATGTTCCCATAACTGGTCTGAGCAAAGCTGCATTTTTGAGTGAGTAATTCTTTTCTTTTTTTCTTTTTGAAAAGTAGAAGAAATTTCTTCCTTAGAAATTGATGCTATAGGCTGTGCATAGAGGTTTTGGGAGTTAAGCAAAAGATCAGGTTCAAAGTTGTAAAAAGCCAATCTATTCTAAAACACATTGACACCAACGTATGAAAATTAAGTTAGGGGGGCCAGTGAGTACCCCCATCTCATTCTGCTTCAAAAGACATTGACATCACGTGGCACCTCATGTTTTTTAACCCCCTTTTAAGGCAAAGTTACAATAAAACTTGAAAAAAATCTGGGTGTGCCCCCCATGCTACCACCGTGTAGCTCTCTATCGCCCTCTAGTGGCGAGACTACAGATGGTGGAATTACGAGTCCTACTGCCTTCAAGTGAATGGACTGGTCCTTTGCCTCAAGTAGTGGAGGCACATGCATTTAGCTCCAGATGGCCCAGGCAGGGGTATTGCTCATAGACACTACCCCCAAAGGATAGCACCCACAGACTGGGATGGTCAGGATCTAGGAGATATTATCTAGCAGACGTGGTTTGCTAGAGTCACCAGGCCAAATTCTGCTCCCAGTTACACAGGTATAAATCCAGAGTAACTCCATCAGTGTCAAAGAAGCTGGCATAACTGGAAGCAGAATTTAAATCCCATCTTATTAATTTTTTGCTTCCCTAAGGTAAAATCAACTATTTTCCCCCTTGGCAACCGTTAGCTTGTCTATACCATTAGATTGCTGCAAAATGAGGTTTTATGAGCACTCGGAATATGTGAAAAAATACTCTTAACTAAGGTTCTTCAGGGGTTGTAAGTGATTGGAAGAAACTGAGGGAAATTTAAGACAGAGAATGTATTTCGGCGTCAAGTCCAGGAAAACACTTACGCACCTGCTTGACCTTAAGTCCATGAGCAGTCTCATTTAAGTTTAATCATGTGCGTAAGTGCTTTGCTGGATCAAGACCTTAAAATGCTAATGAGAATAAAAGATGTAGATCTTTAAATGATGAATTTGACATTATTGTCAAAGATCAGGAATAATAGTAATTGATATTTTAAAATGGCCACCATAGGTTGCTACTTAATTAAAAAAAAACCCTTATTAGCAATGAATGGAATGGATTTGAACTTTACACCAACCATGTCACTGAAAATAACTTGTTTCACTGTATGTCCTCCCGTAAGCACCCTTCCTTATTTGCCGTCAGTTAATTCGTGCACAGTTGGGCTTTTTATCGGGAGTGAGCACTGGCAGAATTAATTGACCCAGTTTTGGGCAACTTCAAACTTAATCCCCATTTCCATTGGCAGATGTACAAAGCGATCCCACTAGGCAGAGGCAGGTTTTCTCAGGGAAGGACTGGCTGGGTCAACACGATAAAAATGTCGTACAAGTCCAGGCTGTAACAGACATGCCATCCAGCGCAGGCAAAGCTCCTTAGATTCCTCCCCATCCATTGCAGGCAAATTACTGCCTTACTGTTGACCACCTCTTTTTCTCCTCCTCCCCATTCAGTGCAGTCTACCTAAAGGTCTGATTCTCGGCAATGGCCTAGGTGGGGCTGGGACAGTTGTTGCTGGGTGTGGATGGGTGGTACTGCTGGAATTAGGTACTGAAAATTCTTTCTTCTCATCACAGTCCCCTGATCAGAGCTGAGAGAAATTTACTAGCCATGAAACCATTTGCACTGGTTGGACAATGAGCTTCTCCACCTTAGCATGTCACAAGCCATTAGACCTTGATGCATGGGTTCCCCTTAATTATTTGGATGTTACTTTTCATATTGTCCTTGTCATCAGATGTTAATTATGGGCAACCTCGATCATTTCACAAAACTTAGAGAAAAGCTGGCACTTGTCCCGTGTCTGGTTCCAGCAAAGTCCAAGAGGCCCGTGCTTCTGCTACCACACACATTTCCCACAGACATGTTCAAGAGGAGTTAGACTGGCTCAGTGAAGCTCCCTGGAGGAAATACTGAATGCCAGTCATCTCTTCCCCGTCCCCCAAGTCCAATATTATTATACTTAGCTTCACTGAGCATTGAATGTGGAAACAGGAGCTAATTGTGGTGGCAGGGAACTCAGAGAGCTTCTTGGAATTTGCTTGCAGAAGAAGTTATGGGCAAGATACAAAGAGTAATATTTCCTTAAGATTTGGGTTCTGATAAGAATTGCATTAATTTCAGTGGAAGGTGAACCAGGCTCTCAGTCCCTAGTTTAGCAAAGCATTTAAGCACAGGCTTCACTTTAAGAACTGGAGTATTCCAAACTGAAATCAATAGGCTTCTAATAATAGTTGTTATTATTATTATATTGCATTGCATTGGATTTATTTGTATTGTGGTAACATCTCAGGAGTCCCAGGACTCCATTGTGTTAGGAACTGCACAAATACAGAACAAAGAGATTGTCTCTGCCCCAAGGAGCTTACAGTCTATTTGCAGGCTTCATTGCTTTCCTGAATTGGGGTCATAGTTAACATCCTGTAAGGGCAGAAATATGGGGGTGGGGGGGAATGGAATTTAGCGAATCAATTGACGGCCACCCGTCAAAATCAGGTCAGTGTTCTCACAACACTTCTCAAGATGGAGATAAATGTTTTAAAACATTTGAAAACTGAGTTCTCTGGTGGTATCTAGCACTGATTCCAACCTTAAAAGTTATTGAGATAATGGCCACTAAAATCAGAGGTCTCAAGTTGGTCAGCCAGAAATGACAACCACCATAATCAGAGGCTACGTTTGGAAATATTAGCCTTTAATCGTGAATGCTTGTATTATTTGCCAGTTTACACGGCATTGCCTACCTCTGAATGTATTCTTTGTGACTGGTGACATACAACTAGTAATAAAGAAAAGACCACGTTGTTTGAATAGTGAGGTTTTGCTAGCTGGGTCTAAAGCTTTCACTTAGGCAATCAGTGAATGTCTCCTTCTGTACATGAAGCAGTGATAATTCATACCTGAACGGAAGTATTACTCTTAGTCAAATATTCTTCTGTTTAACTAACAGTCTTTCCACCTGCAAAGGCAGGCATTGTACGCTGGCTCAGCCAATCAGAGAGACCATTAAGACTCATACATTTTATCTACAAGGATTGACTACACTCTTTATTTGCATTCATGATTGTTGGATTATTTTCTGGAGCATGGCAGAATAAATGTTTATGAAACCAATTTGCTCTGTTTTGGAGCACATGGTCATAATACCATCAGATGCTGCTGATTAACTAGTAAATAATGTATCAGCTGATGCCTCTTTAGCTTTGTTGACTGAGTGGGAAAAGGTCAACGTTTTGTATTATGAGGCAAATGATGCTGCCTAGCTCCTATGAAAGCTTCCTCCTTTGACTGTGTTGCCTCTTTTTATTTTGTATTTCTTTGGACAGGTGCAGAATATGTCTCAGTCAATAGAGGTATTGGACAGGCGAACTCAAAGAGACTTACAATATGTAGAGAAGATGGAGAACCAGATGAAGGGGTTGGAATCGAAATTCAAGCAAGTGGAAGAGAGTCACAAACAACACCTGGCAAGACAGTTTAAGGTATGTACATCCTCCAGCCTGCTAATGAGGCTGCAGTGTCTCTTCCTCTGCCCCAATATACTGTGGGCCAAATGATCAGAGAAGACAAAAACAATTCTCCAAACTTCTATGTAGATAAACCTACCGTGTGGCACCACCCTAGGGTTCTATTCCCACTGCATTCTGGGCCTTACTCAGCAAACATTGACATCCACAAAAGTTTTGCCTGAATAGAATCATATCTTGAATGCACTGAATTTCCAGGAAGGAATTTTCAAGCATGCATTGAGAATAGGTCTCCTAATGTACACTCTTACTTTGTAAAGATAAGGCCAAATGACCAGAGTGATATGGCAACAATAAGGAGGTAAAAATGCCAGTAAAGTGTATAGGTTGCTTATTTTTCAGTAATTAGCCCAAAGTCCTCATGTTAAGTAACCTCAGTAAACAGGTAGGCAATTCCTATATTTGAGCATTAGTGTCCTCACTGAGTGAAACAGATCACTCATGGACCAAGGAGCGGGCAAGGATCTGGGGTGACATCCTGCTGCCACTGAAGTCAATAGGAATTTTGCTGCTGACTTCAATGGGGTCAGGATTCCACTACTGTATTTCACTGGGTTTGGGGAAAGATCCCATCCAGACTGACATAATGGACCCATTTATTCTCTTCTGAAACAGCCCATGAGTTGGAGCATTGCTACCATTTACGTAGCAAATGGAGTACAATACTACAGTGGCACCAGAGAATTTCCCCTTCACATTCTTTGAGAAATATTTTGATTACATTTTCTTGAAACATTTCCCCACATTTTTTAACAACTAGAGAGCTGGTTGAAACTTTTTAATTTCAAGATTTAACTGATGTTTTCAATTTTGAAATACCAACATTTTGAATTAAAAAAATGGGAAAGAATATTTGTGAAAATTGTCAATTTCACCCTCATTTTTCAACCGGCTCTGATCCTCAAGTTCAGTTCTTCAGCTTAGATCTAAGGTTAGGACCTGCTAGACTGAGACAACTTTCAGCTCTAACAATGTGATCTTAATTCCCCCCCCCCCCCACACACACACGCACACCATGGTGATACATTCACTAGAGAGTGCAAATAAAAACGTATAAAACATCGGAGGGGAACTCATCACTTGAAATAGAGGAGCATGGAAAACAAATAACGTTTCATTACATGGGCTAGTTTCCAATCTCATTCATGCCAGTATAAATCCAGAGTAATTCCACAAGACACTCAGATACCATGGTCCTAGGCATTGTATAAGAATCTGAAATGGAACTGTCACTGGTGCTATTCTGGATTTACATTGGTTTAACCGAGATCCGAATATGGCCTATTATTAGGCTTGGTAGAATTAAGATTTTTATTTTTTTAAATAATTTTGACAAATAATATAAATGTTCATTTTTAATCTCTCCCCCCCCCAGTTTTTATCAATTTAAATTTTCACAGTTGCTCAAAATTATAAGCATTTTTTTCTGATTTTTATCGATTTAAATTTTCACAGTTGAGGGAAAGTATGAGGGGTCAGACGATGGGGGCACAAAGATAATCATTATTTAATGACAGTAGACACTGAGAATCAAAAAGTTAAAGCTCTATAACTGTTAAAACACAAATTGCCACCATCATATATTGAAATGTACAAAATGAATACCTTTAACCCAAACGGTAGTGAGTTCTCAAGTTGAATTTTTCTTACTTTCCCTATCTGTAAATTTCAATTATTACTGATGGAAATATTTTTCCCTCGGTTTGTGTGTGTATGGTGAAATCGACGTTTATCAACATTTATCGATAAAAATCTAATCCTTCCAAGCCTACCTATTATGAATACTATCCAATGCTTCATTACATGGTAAGTGCGTGCATATGTACATATGCATTGTTGTCTAAGGGATCTCAGCATCTTCAACAAAATGTTGTGTACTATGCCTTTAAAGACAGCCTTTCTTTTCATTAAAAAAAACCAAAACAGTTTGGCGAAATAATGACTGTGTTTCTGGAGAACCAAATTAAAAATGATATTTTTAGCATGATTAAATAGCATTAAAGAATTGTTCATATCAATTGCTGCACAGGCACAGGGCCGGCTCCAGCTTTTTTGCCGCCCCAAGTGGCGAAGCAGAAAAAAAAAAGATCGGCGGCACTTTGGTGGCAGCTCAATCACGCCGCTTCATTCTTCTGCGGCAATTCAGCGGCGGGTCCTTCGCTCCCAGGGACTGAGGGACCCGCCGCCGAAGACCTGGACGTGCCGCCCCAAGCACCTGCTTCCTTCGCTGGTGCCTGGAGCCGGCCCTGCCCAGGCATGATTTTAAATCACAGTCACAGCATTTTGTTTGTGCCAACGCCGGCGTTAAAATGTGAGTGGTTTGGAGTTGCGTTTGGGTTTTTTCTTATCATAAGACTATTTGTTTATGAATGGATGTTTGTGGAAGGCAGGTTAGTGAGCTAGCTCCTCAACAGTATTTCATTTTCTTGCTTACAGGGCTAACTTAAAAGAAAGTTTTTTCAATGCTGCAGTGACTGAAGAAGCAGTTCACTCCCATGTAACCATGAAAAGAGGGTCACAGAGCATTTTGCACCATGCATTTATTTCTTTATTTATTATTTTCCAAATTAGTACCATATCTCACTAAGGAACCTTGAACCACAACTGAGATCTTCCTTTGCATGCAATTGTAGATGCATTTCATGAATAGTTTGAAACCCTTGTCAATGCATATATATACATAATTTTTTTAAAGAAAAAAAAAACAACAACAGAACTCTTTGTGTATGTGATCTGAAGCATGTAACCGTAAGATGTTGCATTCTAAAAATGACAAATAAAGGCCTTTCCCAAATATTTTGGTGTTCTGCAGACTGTTTAATATACTCTTTCTAATACATCATTTGGACCAAAAAAATAATAATGATAAGAATAATTGTGGGGATAAGAACATTGCACTCACGTAGGAAGCAGCCAGATCAAGGCAGAGTGTTGCAGATTTTTGCACGCATAGCACTGAACCAAGCTTATTTTAACCTTGCAGGCAATAAAAGCGAAAATGGAGGAACTTAGGCCTTTGATACCAGTGTTGGAAGAGTACAAAGCCGATGCAAAATTGGTATTGCAGTTTAAAGAGGAGGTCCAGAATCTGACGTCAGTTCTAAACGAACTCCAGGAGGAGATTGGCGCCTATGACTACGAAGAGCTTCAGAACAGAGTGTCAAATCTTGAAGAAAGGCTCCGTGCATGCATGCAAAAATTAGGTAGGCTCAGAACAATATGGTGGCACTGGCAAAACACCAGCAATGTAAAGTACATATCACATCTGGAGGTAGCGGTGCTGACCTGGACATCTCCTTGTGCCTTCACTGCACTGGCTATAAGAAATGAGCTCACAAAGCAGGGTCCGATCCTGTAAACACATATGCACATGAGTAACTTTACTACCATGTGTAGCTACTCACCTGAGTAAAGTTACTCATGGCGCAAGTGCATGCAGGATCATATCCTTAGTTGGACATGAGACTTTGCAAAGTTAGCAGTGAAATATGGTAAATAGGCTATTTTAAATACTGCTTATGCAATGCAAACACTGGGTCTCCATTTAAATTATGTATCAATGTCCAATCTTTCTGCTAGCTAGAATTGGGACATACCATTTTAAATAATATGTATGTGGGGCATGACTTTTTACCAGAAAAGAGCACACCCTCACCAGTGTTTGCTCATGTTTGTGTGTGGGCTGCAGCTCTATAAAGAATATAACACTCCACCCCACCCCACCCCAACCCATCACTTCCTTTCATTGAAGGAGTAGAACCCTATCAATCAGGCCAAGTAAATAGAGGCTGTAAAGCACAGGCAGCCAGATTTTGATCTCATCGCAGCTGTTATCAATGGGCCATAACCCCACTGAAGTCAGTAGATTTCTTCTGGAGAATACACCACTGTAACTCAAATCAGAATCTGGCCCGAGCTAGAGGGTGAAAATGTTGGCCCTTTGAGGAAAAAGAGGGGATTCTGCATTCTGTGTACTTGTTGCAAGACATTTCCCCAACATTTGTTGACCTAGCTCCCTCCTGATTTAATTTCCGCTTACATTATTGACTTGCTTGTTAAGCAATTTAAGTCATCTGAACACATTAACCGATCCTCCAGTCTATTTCGGTAGCACATTTGAAATTATACTCTCATGTGACTTCCGTAAAGATCAGCTGCCTTCTCATCACTGTATATTTTTGGCAAGGTACCATTTTATTTTTCTACTGTCTATGCTACTGGGATTGTTTCTGTTTGTTTTTAGACCTTTCCACCTTTGTTAGGAAGCTTCCTCCCTTTAGAAATTGATTGCTGTTATTATTTTAGCTTGTTATCTGTTACCTTGTAACCCACCTGTCAGCTAAAAGCCCACAGAGGAAAATGAATTCATTTAGAACATTATATATGCACAGACAAATTTCTATGGGAGCTGTGGGTAAAATTTGCAAAAGTGTTTAAGTGACTCAAGTCGTTAACACAGTCTCTAGAGTATAAGTCTAATTAAACGTCAAAGGGACTTAGGCTCGTCCGTGCCTAACTCATTTTGAAAATGAAGCTTGGGCTCGTGAGTTACGGACGCGCTTTTGAAAATGCCACCATCTCTGTCTGTTGGGGAAGGGAAAAGCCCATGTCTGAAGGAAACTTAACGAGATTGGCCAGGTCCTCAGCCCTCAGCTTAGTCTAAAGGAATGAAGCTAGGCAGATTTACACCAACTGAGGATCAGGCCTCTTGATTTAAAAATAAAAGAACTTGGAAAAGCATCTTTCTCCCCCTCCCCCTGCTGAAGAGATGCATGCAAGGCATGCCACTGCTGCGCCTTGTTATTCACCATGTACAATCTTGCAGTGGTTTTTGGATTGTAAAGAAAAATTCTCCACCTCTGTGCTATAAAGGTGAAATTCACAGCACAAAGGTCTATGCCCCATTTAAGACCTGAAAGTATGGCTTCAGTGGCAAATCAGTGGTGCATAGACCTCGTACTGGGCCCTCTGAGTTTCATTCTAAATGTTTGAAAGGAAGATGGAACCTGGTTATTATTATTTATTATTATTATTATGGTAGTACCTACAGGCTTCAGATGGGATTGGGTCCAGTCCCTGCCCCCAAGAATTTACAATCTGGACAGGCAAGAGAGGGGTAGAGCATGAGGAAGGAAGTATCATTATCCCCATTTTATAGATGGGGAACTGAGAGACAGAAAAATTAAGTGATTTGTCCAAAGTTTCCTAGTAAGTCTGTGGCAGAGCCTGGAATTAAACGCACGTCTCCAGAGGCCCAGTCGAGTGCCTTAGTCACAAGAGACTTCTGTTGTGAGGAAGCAGCTGTCTTTACTTCTTCTCTTTTGACAGAAGAGATGGGGTTTCACATGAGGTAACAAATGGAGAGCAGGGATCTATTTTCTGTCCCACCGTAGAGACCGTCTCTTCAAATCTACCATTTTTGGTTGTCTCTTATGTTCCCATCCTGTCTCTTGAGAAATAAGAGACTCTTTCTGTTTTCCACTGCCAGCTCTCTGCTGACCTTTAGTCACTTTAACTCTAGGAACCGAAGAGAGGACAGAGTAGGAAAACCTAACATGCTAGAGCAGAAAGAAAAACATCAGAGCTGTACCTGAAAGTGGAGCAGTATTGTGCTGTCAATATTTTAACCAAGGGCTTCTGTAAAGATGCACCCAGAACATGTGATAAATACCACATGGACCAAAGGTGTGTGTGATTTCAAGGAGAAGAATGGAGGAACTGGGGAATCTAATTTGAGCTAAGCAAATAATTTGCAGTGGATAATTATTTAAACAACACAGCCCTCTTTGTCTATTGGCAAAAATTCCTTGGATCCAGTCGTTACCCTAATGTGTGTGTTTGTTCAAGTTTCATTAGCTAAATAACTTACCTAATTTTTGTTTCTTCTGTAGCTTGACCACAAATGCTCAACTGAGGAATTCAGTTGCTTAGTTGGGATTGGTCAGAGGTGTCACATCAGATTGGTCCTCTTCTTTGACAGCATGACCATGTGTAATCCTGTATGCAAGCACTTCTTAGCAGGAATGCTTGCGTGCATGATTGTAAACTTCAGTTTGCATGAAAACTCACCCGTGTAACTTTGAAATTAATTGTTTTATTAGGAGCAACATTGTCATACCTTGATGCTCAATGTTAGTCTCCTAAATCACTATTTGGGAACCTAAATGCAAATGGACTGAGCATCACAAATACTGAGCGTATACAGATCCCATTGGAGTCGATGGTACTTATAGGAACTCAACATCATTGATTGTCAGGCCGCTTGTATTTAGGTGCCTGATAGGGTTTTAGAAACCTAATTTTAAATACTCAAGGTCGGCTTCCTCAAGTGGTGTGAATCAGCACAGCGTCACTGACTTGTGTGGAGCTATGCTTTTATACACCAGCTAAGGATTTGGGCCCCAAGTTTGCAAATGTTAGCCTGCCGTTTTAGCCAGCTGCTTGAAAAGAAAAAGGACATGAGGAGGAGAGGAAAGGGGGCATTGAACATGGCTGAGGTGAGCCCGTTGAAAAATACAAGTGCGTATTTGCAGACTGCTGTATTCACCGCTCTCCTCCAGGAGGACGTCTGCGGCACTTGGCAGACAAATGTGAAGCGCATTTGCGGGAAGCATTTGCACCTTTTTCCTGAGAACCGCCCTGGGCGCACGGAGACTGCAACAGCATGTGTGTACTGCTCCTTTGAAGGAGGAGGTGGGAGAGAGCCATTGCTGAAAATGCCTGCTCCGGGGATATGATGCAACAGGGCCCAGAGAGAAGGGGCCAGCTCAGTTCAGTGGAGCTGTGGGGACTGACACCAGCTGAGGATGTGGCCCAAGGTGACTCCATCAGGTGCAGGGAGCCCATGTTGACCTTCCCTTGAGTTTAGTGGCAGAACTTTAACAAGTGGCTCCAGATCCATCCCAGTATATCACTGATCTCGGGTTCTCTGAGGGGGAGAATCTGGGACTTTTGAAAATAAGCCTCTTCGCATGCTGCTAATTCTGCTTCCTATCTCACTATCACCACCTGTTTAGGACCAAACTGTGAGGCACTCACTCAAATTGAGTAGCACCCGACTCCGCATGTAACCCCACCCCACTGATACCACTGGAACTATTTACCAAGTAAGGTACTACTCAACATGAGTAAGAACCTGGCAGCCTGGCCCTCAGTGGAGTTTATTAATACTCAGCTCCTGGGGTAACAAAGAATTCCTTTGTGCACAGCCCCAGTCTCTGTCCAAGTGTTGGGGTCCCATTCTCTGCTAGGTTACATCAGTTTTACGCCATTGATTTCAATTGTGATAGGCTGCTGGAAAACTGGACCAGCTCAGCAGTGGAGTGGGTCCTTTGATTTCAAGCCCTGAACATGCAGGATTTCTAGTACATTTCGGAGCGGGGTTCAGTCAAACCCATTGTATTCCCCCTGGAATGCTACTGAGTAGGAATGCGTTTTGAAAGCTAAAGGAATGGTTGTCAGAGATGCTGGCAGCTGTAGTTCACTTCATTTCAGCACCTCTGAAAATCAGGCTATTGCAACACCGGCAGGTATTTTGCTGCTGGGGAACTAGTGCTGTAAAATGAGCACTAAGGTGGGTGTTAAGAATGGCAGGTCCTTCCCACAATCTACACCAATTATCCCCCCACTGGCTCAGCTCCACGTTGGGTAATTGCATTCTCCCTACATGTGCTCAGATCCTCTGCTGCTGAAAATCTTTTGTCGTCCCAAAGCTAACACTCTGGCCTGGCGCTCTTCACTATCTAGCCCAAACTGTTGTTGAGTGGTGTTGTGTGTTGTTTAACATGTTCCATCTCAGAGGTAGTTGCACTGCAGTGATGGATGAAGCGATTCTTCTACATAGGTTATAAATGTTTTTGGGATCTGCAACAGGGTAAAACATTTGGGAAAGGGTTAAGGGCTCTCTGCCAGTTACGTGACTCAGCAGGGAATTTAAGGGAGAGTGTGGGCTCTTTTAGGAGGAGATGAGACAGGCAAGGGGGAAAGATTCTCTGTTGGTCTGGGGAATTGATTTATTTTGGTGTCATCTCCTGAATTTTGTGCTTGAATGATAAATGGGCTCAGAGGCAAGCACCTGAAACCGACTTAGGCATGGCCTTGATTCCTTCCTGGGCTGATGAGATAGCCCAGTAATTTACAGAACACTTTGGGATAAAAAATCCCATGTAGACCAGCCCAGCTGGGCAAATCATGCAGGCAACCT